ACAATGTTTTCTTCCTATATTTATACGTTCCAGATTACTAGAAATACGCAACAACGAAAACAATAGCCGCGAACACAGTAGCACTATGACCAATTCAACCAAAATGCATATGTATTGACGCTTCTGCGCAACTCTGCTGCTTTGCAGAAAAATTTAATATTATCCAGTGTTGCCAAATCACATTTAATTTCATAAACATCAATTAATTTAAAAATAATGCCTGACATGAAACAAACATATTTACATCATAGGTATGTATATTAATAAACTAACATTTTTGAGATATAGCTATAAAAAAATGACGTGATGATAGAGCTAAAATATGGCGTTTTTGGAAAAAAATTATACAAATAAGCAAACAGCTTTTAAACATCAAAATCACTGTAGACCTATGTATTTAATAACGATGCGGTAATTAATGTTACGTTTGTATGTTTCAATCTGTTTTTGATAAAAAAAAATTGTGAATTTTAACAGTTCATAAAATTTAGGCAGTTTCGCCAAAACTGAAAACTATAAAAGTTTTCTTGCATCAGAAAACGAATTTTATCCAAATGTTAAGTTCTTCTCTTGGAGTTTGGGGTGGTTTTTAAGTTATTAAAGTTTATTTATCTTTTTTACCTTTTCAACTGTATAAGTTGAGGTATTGTCCGGCGTGTGTGCGTTTTCGGAATACCGAAGTCAAAATTGTGGTAGATTGTTGGTGTCAAAATCTTGCAGAAGTATTTACCTGAAGGCGACTGGGGATATTTCAACGTAAAGCTTTGTGAAGGTTAATAAAAACGTTTTTTGAATATACAGTTTAGTGGAACATTACAAATTGCTAGCGCATTTTTTCGAGCATCGATTAAAACCGGAAAAGCACACAACGAATTTTGCGGGTTCCGCGAAAAAATTATTCAACGTGAAAGGTGAATTATTAAACGCAAATTCGCAACTAAAATTATTAACAACGTAGCGGTAAACAATATTGTTCGACAGCGGTGCGGGCAAAACAAATTATTTTAACATGCGTACCTGCAAAGTGTTTTAATGCATGTAACGATGAAATGAATTGTCTAGTAAAATATTCCGTTCCCTCTAATGGGAATATGTTATGGACTATACAAACCTGGTACGTAAATTTTTTGCCCTTCTCCTTTGACTTTAAACTACCAGGCCATTAATTAAAATATACAAGAAAACAGGGCAAGATGATGACCAGCAGGAATGAAATCAGTCATTATTTATAGCCTGCGGTGACCCAGTTTACTGTTGCCAAATGTCTGGGATAAGGCTTATTTAAAAACATGATTTTCATTCCGCAAAAAAAATATTAGTTATTGGTTAGCTTTATTAGAACGTTTATAAGCGTCGTAACACAATCAATTTTTTATGTATTGTCATTTCAAGAAAATATGAACTTGCTGATAAGCGTAATTTGTCTTCGATGAACCCCAAATATTCTCTAAATATTTGTGAAAATATTTTATCAGTTTCACGCAAGTTTCAATGACACAGATTTTCATTATTTGTGGAAAAAAAACTTTTTCAATATGTGCTTTGAATTTGCCGATAGAAATGTTATTAGTTGCACGTAAGTAGTATGTCTAAGCGGTTTCAACGACCGAAAGCGAATTTAATTTTCGGTGATATGAAAAACAAGACCACGCATTGGCGAAACTTTAACGGCCAGACCTAAATATAACAAACCTTCTCCTAACCGAGAATGTAAATGTCTGAGCTAAATTTGCCCTAAACCCGAGAATGCTTAGTATTCGACTGGGGAAACTGGTAGGGGCGTCCTATTTGATAGATGTTAAGCGGCTCGTATCTATATATTCACCTAACACGGTAAAAGCCAAATATGGGGATGCGATTGGTATGCGGGAAACATGGCACTGCCCCTCACCGCCCCTGGAGGGTAAAAAAATCCAAACGGTAAAAACTTTTGGTTCGGACAGGGCAAAAACGAGTCGGCCGTCCCTTACACTATAATTATACTTATAATTTACCAGTTTTTTAAAATTGACATTTTTTAGGTGTTTATCTCATTTTTTATACCCAATTTGAACCTGTTTTCAATAAATTTTAAAGTTCGTCTTTAGAATTGATATGCAGACAATTGCCGGTGAAAAAGAGATTGTGACTCTTAACTTCAAAAGGTACTTACGTGTTTTTCTAAATGTGGGTGACAACCTGACCATTAATCCGTTTATATTTGATAATGAGAGTGATCCATCTCTCCGAACCGAACCCGAACCGGACATAATCAACTGATTAATGTGTAATTAAGTCAAATAAAGACAATGGAAGTATTAGTTTAAAGACACTTGAGTAACAGAGGGGAAATTATAATTTTCGTTATCTGTGTACATAAATTTATGTTAAGGTCTTGTTGTCAGTATGTATTGTACTGATTAGAGGTCTGAAATAAAACTTTAAATTTTCCAGAGAAACGAATAGAAAAAAAAAACTGAAACCGAAAATGACAGAGGCTTTCCCACTTCGTTCGATTAGTGGCGAGTCCCCTTACATTGACCCCTCGCCGTGCCTGGGCAGTCCCCCCCACCCCCGATCCTCGTGCCGTAAACCGTATTATTCGCTCCAAAATACATTCGTCCGGTTCGTTTATCTTAAACAAAAAGTGGTCTCGGGGTCCGGCGAGCCCGAGACACAGCTTACCGAAGGGTATTAATCAAGTATTCCCGTGGGCCGGGGGGGCGGGGGCAGAGAGCGGGGCAAAAAGCGGCCCGCGGGCTTCTACCCGCCACCGTCCATACTAACGCTCTTAATTAGGTATTAGTTATAGTTAGACCCCGGGATATAACTCAGATTTTATCTGGAGGTCCGCAATATTTTCCGTCGAGATTTATATTGCACACAGTCGTACGCGCAAAGCTGTTTTGTTAAGAGTCACGTAAGTTCAATTTCCTTTTCCAGCAGATCATAGAATTAATATATTACCGGAAACAATGTTTAGTTTACTCGAAAGCGGTGGAACCAAGCCTGGTTGAGTTGGCTCACTAAAAACCGGAAAAGTTTATAGAAACAGTGAAGATGACGTTAGTTTTGGTTAGTTTTTAGTACGATGAGGGTCCTGGAAATGCGAGCGGCCATCGGAGTCCTTAATTTGGATGAGCTCGGAGTAGCCGAGTAACAGGACCGTCGAGAAACATTAACAAGATTGGCGAAACGCAATTTTGTCGATTCCGTTTGGGTACCTGCCAGGAAACCTTTAAATTTCGCTGAAAGTTTACGTCCTTAACGAATGGAAAAATCCCAATTTGACGGTTTTACGACGTCGTCCCGCGATGCCGGCCGCTTTTCCACGACTTACCCTTTAATTAACGGTATACGCGGATCGGCCGGAAACTAACCCGAAACAGATGATTAACGCCGAAAAACTTGATATATTACTCCGAATGATGCATTTGCATTCGCAGCGGCAGCACATCCTGCCCATTGTTTTATGATTTATTACGCGTCCGCTAGGGAGGGGGAGGGTTCGTTTGTTTAACGCTGCAAATTAAAATTTATTTCGTTACAGCAACGGCCCTTTGCGCGGCCTCCAGGCGCAGGAGTGAGCGGAACGCATTTCCTGCGAATATTAATTAATACAAATAACGTTGATGCAATTAAACGGTAAATGCCTATCACATGTAAAAATTCATATGTTTCATAAATTTATTTTCAATTTGATTGATACTGTAACATTGCAATGCTGATTAAGAAAAAATTGCAAATTTTAAACACATTTAGTTCCTAACGAATGATGTTTGCGCCTCTTTTGAGTGTACAGTGGGGTTTTTTCGTTGATATCATAGGGCATAAGGTGAGAAGTACAAAAACACTGAGATATGTTCTCCATTCTCTTTTTATTTAATATCGGAAGTATGTCTACGCTATCTAGATTGGAAGATACCGAAAATTTGTTAGTTTTTATTATCTTTCATCACTGGAGATAAAAAAAAACTTACATATGAAATTTTCATGACTTTTTACGTAGAGTATAATGGGGACTTAAAAAATATAAACGTTTTCATTTTCTAGATATTATCAAAACTTAAATGGGGTTAAGTATCTAAGTATCTCAAAAAACTTTTTTCAGTTGGCAATGGATAGAATCAATATTACTTTATTTTATAACAGATTTTTAAAAAAAAATTATTAATATAATAATATTTCATAATGATTTCAAAAATTATATAATAGTCGAGATTATAACAATTAGGCATAGTCTTGTTGGAAAAATGCGTTATTTGTTGCAGACAATGGCAAGTTATATACCTCTGTTGTTACATATTGTTCCAAAATTTTTATGAAACCTGGATTCTACATAAGTCATAGTCAACATTTATTCTGCATAAATAACTGAAGTGGTAAGAGATAATAAAATGTTTTTTAGAGTACCCTGTATCTTTTAACGCAGTATCGTAAAAGAGAATAATAATAAAACACAAGATACAGCGTATATAGTACGCAGTACTCTGTCGATCGATCTATGTTTTTATTCCCTACCATAGCACAAAAGTAGTAATCTAGGATTTTCTGTTCCTTTACACTTGAAAAGGAAGTATAAGACTCAGATGTCAGTTGGAATTACTCTTTTAGCACCTCTTTATGTTTGCATCATGACTATGTAAACCACTGCTATCCAAAACAAGCTTTTCATAATCATTTTAGAGCCGCCAGCGGCGTGCTTAGTGGCAGGTGCATGCGGATTAGGTCAACCGTGGTCCAGCAAAACCACATTTGCTTTTGAACCTCGAAAAACGAGGTCCCTACTCTTTCCCAATTCGCTGCCCTTTAACCCTCAACCCCTGCCGAACGCGCACCTCGCAGCAGCCACCCCCCAGCACCGAACATCAAATAAATAAAAACAATAACTATCTGTAGCATAAATTCGACGAAATAAATTACCAGCTCCAATCGGGCGCGTTCGGGAGCGATCGACTAGGACCGCGATACCGGCTCCGAGGGCTGCAGGAGCTTTAGAGAACGCCATAGAGGCAGTGCGTCGTTCGCTCTGACAGTAGCTCGGTTTTGCGACGGTGCCACATCGTGCAGCAAGTGCGTTTAAGTTACACACGATCTGGCCGCGTTAATTAGATCGCCAATAGAGGAGAGGGTGGTGATTTGTTATACGCATCGCGATGACTCGGGACTCGTGACCGGGGATGGTTTAAAGGCGTCGAAACGTCGCGAGCGCCGAAACGTCGTAATTGGTAGCGATGACGGGACGCGACTAGGAACGAAGATGACACGTAAAATTTTGTGTTTGTTGGTTTTTTGTGCGTTCCTGGTCTGTGCCGGCAGCAGCCCGTCGCCCATCAAGAGAAGTAAGGATTTCGTTTCGATGGTTTTTTCGTTTGTTAAGTAATAATAAATATGTGATTATAATGTCCATTACAGTCGCATGTGGCATTTATTAAAGGTTTTAATTTAATCCCAGAGTTCGCATTGTTACGAGACTTACTGCCGATGGCTATATAGTACATCCATACGAGCCAATGGACACACAAAGTAAAAGAAACGCAAGTGCACCAAACTACTTTGCAAGTGTTCACTTTGCACTTTGAATATCGTTTTCTGTTGCATAAATGCTATTTGCAAAGTTCGTTAGGCAAAATGAAAAGGGATAATTGAAAAGTGCCGAACTTTTCAAAAAATAATTGATAAACATTGCCCAAGCAATTTTTTTCATTACATTTTGGCCAGTTTGGCATATATTTAGAACAGTAAAAAGTTCCAAATAGTTTGGTGCAATAGAAATCTGGAACTACTTTTGTACATACTTTATGAATATTATTGTTTTTTTTTTATTACTGGGTTGTAGTATAGCAGGTTCCCTTTTTTCATTATAGATACTGCACTTCAAAGGCATTTCATGATGTTTCAGTGTCGGAGCTTTTGTGCTACAATCAAATTCGGAATTTTCCGTCAGATTGGATGGTGTCAAAAATTGCCTCGCCTCCGTAAACCAAGCTGTCGCCTTATCTATCATTGTCAATTATCTTAGGCATACGTTTGGTCAGATGGAAACGGTTCGCCTCGCACTGTCATGCGTCTTCGTTTGTTGTTTCATTCGAAAGCCACTTTGCTAACGAGAATGACTTTCCCAGTTAATGAAAATAAATCGCCCTGTAGTTGTCGGGCAGTTTTTTTGTTTTGTTTTTTAACCACGTTGATCAAATATTTTATGGCCGACCTTACAGCCAGTTAGTTGCTTGAAATGATTTGTTTTTTGTAAAATTTAATTAATTGCAATAACCATATTGATTAAATATTTATGAGGTGCAATTTGCAATTAATAAAATAACATAATTGAGAAATTAATAGGAGGTGACAATAATGCTAGGTTTATTTGCAGTTTCTAATATAATATATATAATAATAATATATATAACGCGTTTAACGATAATGATTAAATATATCTTGATCGCTTTGAAACACTTATTATAAAAAAATTTAATATTGATAGGGCGCGATAATAAATGTTGCTGTGTATTTTTACGTTTAATTATATTGATTAAATAAGTATTGATATAAAATTATATTTTATTAAAATTACCTACAATTAATGATTGAAACGAATTAGTATTTAACGCAATTAATTAAGCGTACGTATTTGGTTAATTAATTCATAATTAAATGTATCAAGTTAACTAGTACGTACGTAAGCTTATCGGTAAAACATTAGGAATTAAAAATAAAAATCGATTGACGTCTGGCGGGGTCCCTGTCCGTCGGGGGGAGGTTTAGGCACCAACGACACGCGCTGCATGGTTGTTCAAACACTTCCCGAACCTAATTAGGCCGTTAAAATTAGGCGATATTTATATGCGGGACAAATGCCTGTTTATGCAGTTAATGGCGGACGCTCATTCGTAGGGGACTCGTAAATACGGCCAACGCGGTCCGAGGCAATATAACAGGCCAAATATCCCGAATAAATACTCATTGTTCGGGAAATAATCTCTCGGCGGTGTTGGCTCGAAAGCGACGTGGAGCTTTCGGTCTGGCGAGGGGCGAGGAGAACGCACCATTAATTCCGACGACGTCGACGTGCCTTTTCGTCTACGTTTTGGCAACATTGTAAAATTTAAGGAAAAAAAATAATTAAAACAATGGGAACAAGAGTAATTCGTAAGTTTGTATAACCATATTAAAGAAACAAAAAATTTTAATGAAAAAAAAAGTAATGTATAAAAAAGGGAACAAAGGAATTAAAAAAATAATTATTTTAAAAAAAAGTTAAGTACAAAATGATAAACATTTTATTAAAATACACAAAAAGACAATAAATCTTGAAAAAGAATATATTAAAACAAAGTCAAATATAATAAAATATATTAAAACGGTAAATATTATAGTTAAATAATGCAAAAAATAATTGTTGGAAAATGCACACTAGTATAAGAGGACGTTCTAGCATTGAACTAATTTACCATTTTTTCATACAAAAAATCTTATTAAAACTTATCTAGCTAGGATTTTTTTAATATTATATAAAACGTTTGAACTAGATTGCGATGTTCAATAAATACGAATTAGCAGCGATCCCTTTGTGTCTGAAAACAATAGTTTAGCACGACAGTACTGAGAAAAATTTTCTAAGAAACTCTGTACATAAATACACGTTTTGTGAAGATAAATTTCCCGAATATAATATAACGTAGTTTAATTCGGTCTACCAGGGCACCTTCTACCAGCGGCATATTTTCATTCCGAACGGACGTTTTAATACGAAATATCCGCCACTGCATTGTCTCCGTTTTTACAGCAAACGTAAAAACCCGCGTTAATTAAAAAATTAATAACTTTTTTACGCGCAATCAGAATTTTCATTTTCGGATGGCGGGTCGCCGAAATACCCCGCGTATAACTGACATACGCTGCGGCTAAATTAAAAACTTTAATTAAAAATTTATAAAATCCGACCTAGGATCCAATTTCGATCGTCGCGTAAAACCGACGCTTTGTGCCAAACATATTAAACCTATAGTCGTTCAGGAAAAGTTAATTCGTCATCGAAACAAATTACAAGTTGTAATTGTATTATCGATTTTATTATGCTAAGTCACACTTAACTAACTAGAAAGGGACACACACACACAAAAGTGGCAGTACTAACTAACAAACACAAAAAAAAAACTTGGATAGTTGAACCCTTGTTTGACTATCTAATGACCTAAAAAAGTCATTCTTGCATTCTTTTTTTCAGTTTTTTTTTTCAATTATGTCAAAGACCGCCATCTGGCAAGGGAAGCAATCGCAATCGCCTTCAAGTTTGTTAAAATGCATCAAGCCTTTTGGGAGTTACCTGAACTTATTTCCGAAAACCCCCCACCACACCAGCATTTTTACTTAACAGCATTAACTAGACACTGTATGACATTCTCATGCCACTGTCTATGCGTATAATGGATTCTCCTCTGCATATATTTGCAGAACGGGGGTTTTAGGTATCAACACTTTGATTATTCTCATTTTTTCTTGGTCAATTTACTTTCGCTAAAACCGTACCTGGTTACCTCTATTGGGACAATCCGTAGAATTATACGGATATGTTAAAATTTAATATAAGTTTTTTTTTTTTTTAAATTACAGTAAAATTTTAACAAGACCCTAAAATAAAATATAAGAAGAGAGTAGGCCAGAAAAACGCGGAATAAAAGTGCTGTTTCACTGAGATCTATATTGAAGAACAGAGCAAGACGAAGACGCTGCAGATATGAAGGAGAAGTGTCGTGGTTGATAAGTGACTGGGAGGAGAAGTTGCTTTTTCTTTCCGTAGTAAAACACGAGCTTACTGATCTACTGGTCTTGCCCGCGATGACATTATTATTATTCATGATGATTTTGGTGCTGATGGTGATGATGCTCCGTTACATTTGCGCGCGATGTGCTTTTAAAAAATGAACTAAGCAATCGAAATCTAGCCGCAACTTATTTACAGGTCGTAACTTCCGCGCTGAATAATTGAGGGAACAATTTGGAAAACCCTCATCAAGCGTAAGGACGCGACCGTTTTGTTTTCCCGGAGAACTTCTTTTTTTAATAAATAAATATTGCCACGCTACGGGGCGGCGAAAGGTATGAATATTCCACGTCGTCCGGTAACATTGCTCCCGGCGTCACGGCACCTAAAAATACGATATCGACCATCCCCGCCGCCGTCGCCCCACCCCGCCGCGTTTTTAAACAGCATCAGTTTCCACCAAATGTATCGGAACGGAATTTTCACGCCTCAAAGACTATAACGGGGGGAATTCGTTAGTTGCGGATGAGCGCATTCCCAGCCCCAACCCTTCGCCTGTGTATAGGTGGGATCTTATTTGGAAAAAGGTCCCCAGGAAAGGGAGGGACGAATTGACACAATTGATTTTCTTCTCGGTCAGTAGTGAAACTGGTTGGCGGTGTACCGCGAGGTTCAGTCCTCAGCCCTCACTCCCCTATTCATATTCTACATATTGTATTAGAATTGTGTATTATGCAACAAGTGCTCGTTTATTAAACACTGGCTCCGCTGGGCTCCGCTCGTGCCAAATAAACTCGTGAGTCAAATACCGTTTACCGAAAGTGTAACAAATGTTTTAAGTTCATAAAAACTTGTTAAATATTTTTTCTACTCCCATTTGCAAAATATTTAATTACACACCAATCTAGCGTGCGGTAAGCGTTAGTTTATCACGTCGGTTTCGTTTCCCACGGATCCGAGTTACTTCGTACATTTCCGGGATTTTGTTGCACGGGTTTGGGAGCAATCGGATGTTTTCGGAGATATTTCTCACGCCTTGAATTTTGACGTTAGTCAATTCTGACGGTCATGTCAGAAAATGTACCCAAAAACTAACGGTCGTAGAAAAAGTATAGTATGCAATACGTTCGGTAAACTTTTTAAGTCACTCGTTTATTAAACACTCCCTCCGCTGCGCTTCGCTCGTGTCAAATAAAATTTTGAGTCAAATGCCGTTTATCGCACTTGTTGCATAATATACTATAATACTTTTGTACTACTATTAACCACAAGAATTCAAATTGATGCCGGAATAAAAACTTAATGAACTGATTGAACAGTTTGGATGGATCCCCAGCGACAACGTTCAAATCGGAAATTTCATTTTCATAAAAATGATATTGGTAAAAACCGCACATTCCTTACCATTTCCGTGTGTATTTTTTTTTTAAATCGCTGTACATTTTCTAAAAGAGGAAATTTTGTATTTTTATAAAAACACTCCCAAAAGAGTTTTGTTAGGTAGAATGTGATTGGTTTAAGCATGTTTTAAAAACTAGAACCGGAAAAAGCGATTTTTTATATGGGGCATCCCGCATA